CTCCCTGTGAATCCTACTAGGGATTTTTTTTTTTTTTGTATTCCAGGACCTGTCTCTTATACACATCTACATGTGTGTGTGTGGGTGGATAAAAATAATTTAACCAGAGAGTTTTCCGCGCACTATTTGATTATTATTTAACAATGATGAAGCCCCTTGGCCTTGGGCACTTTTTTGAATTCACATTCAGATTTTTTGCTCTAAAACATTCTATCCGTCTGGATAATGATTCATTTCTTAAATAATTATTGAATACTTCATAATTTGATCAAGCTGTTATCAATTGAAAATTAATTAAATATTTACAGTACCGATCGCGGGCAGTGCACTTTTTTCCCGCACTTTGCCCGCGGGCATCGCGTTCTACATCCAACAACTGTCCACGAGCCCAAAGTCAGCCCGAGATGACCCCCGGCCAAGATTTCAGAAATGAACATTACTGCATTACTGATTTAAGGTTGCCAGCGGTACCTGCAGTGCCCGTGGTGTGGACTAAGCACATGATATGCGTGGACGTGCAACCCATAGCTTAAAATTTATGATAGCCCTATTAAGGTAAAATTTGTATTGGAATCATCGACATTATCATCCATCTCAACAGAAAATGATATTAAGTCTACCAGGCAAATTAATTACAGATCTCTAAGAGCATTATTTATGTACAGTAGGCCTACCTATATAGGCCTATATTATATCTATGTGTCATATATGTTAATATATAGGCCTAAAGGTAGGTCAATACAGGTATGCAAAAAAATGAACTGTAGAGACGAAGCTAATTTTTACAGTATATCTTTATATATTATAGGTCAATTTTTAATTAGAAAAATTGTAAAACGTGATTTAGGGCGGCAGCGTTCTCTGTGGGCAGTTAGCCTGCGTCACTCGCGGCGCCAGCGGGGCCGCGATGCCTGCGCCCTGTACAATATAGCATGCCACAGAAAATCTAGCCCGCGGCGCCCGTGGGTTGATTATCCCCGCGTTCCTTGCCCGCACTTTCCCCCTAGCACCGCGTCCAGAAAAGTGCACTGCACGCCATCGGTACTGTAATAACCGACCGATGTTTAAAAAACTCTTAACAATAAAGACATCCTTTATAATCGTATCGTACATTTTTTTAGTTTTCTCGCTGTTGCAAGTATTAATGTAAATGCCATATCGGCAGTTGTATCAGCTACTAGGTGCGGAATGTTGGCCACCCGGATGTTCAATTGATGCATCTTCTGAACGTCCAGGGTGTCGATTCCAGCAGAATGAAGACTGATGACTTTCAAGTTCGGCATCATAGACAAGAAGTTATCATCGATTAAATGCACGAATCTCGAGGTACACAGACATCCTACAATCTCATCAGAAAACCTGTCTTCCTTCTGGAAGAATTCATCTGACCATATGATCTTGAATGGATTGAACAGTTCTATGCCACGCATGTTCTTGAATACCGAAGAACACAGGATAGTTGGTGCAACTGACGAAGACATAGTGTTCTAAAGAAAAAAAAAAAAAAAAAAAAATTAAAACTGAAAATATTGCAGCACAGTCTTTCTTACATTATTTTTTGAATCTTATTTCTTAAAATGACGATTAATTATTGATGTTGCATTGCAGTACCCTTTGCTACTTGTGGATCGGATTAAACACTAATTACGATTAATTATTTATTTATACATGTGAAAATGTTGTATGAGATTGATTTGTAAAGAAAATCCTGTCCGACAGTGGATATTTAGCCAGTAAAACGCCTACTTGCACATAATTTTCGTGATGATGTGCGGCCGGGCGCATTTAACCACAATAAACTTGAGGATGGGCAAACTCAAGTTAAAGCCAGCAAGATAAGCACTTTCATTCAATTTTTGTTTGTACAGTATTTACCATTTAAATTGCCATCTTCTGACTTTGTAAACTTATTTTAATTTAACATCGCTGTGAATATTAAAGTGATTCGATCTCATTTTGTTCTTCCCACTAAAATTGGTATTGATGGAGTCGGACAAGAAACGTGTAAACATAGATAAATGCAAATTATTACCGTCTATTATGCATCTAGATTCAGAAATAATGCACAAGTTAGGCCATTTTTAGGCCTCTTCGCAAACTAGGAAAGTATTCAAATTTTAGTAATGAGAGAGTATGGGGTCAGATGCCAGGGGCGGATTTATGGGGGGGGCGGCCCAGCCCCGGCCCCCCCCCCCCCTTTTGGGAGGTAAAGAAAAGAAAAAAAAAGGAAAAAAAGAGAGAAAAAGAAAAAAATGATAGCCCAGAATGCCTCAAATGTTATGTTCGGGCGTCTAGAACACAAAAATTTCGCGGGGGCATGCCCCAGACCCCCTACGACAGTGTTGTCTCAATCGGCCCAACTTTCGGCCCCCGCTTCCGGCCCCCCCTTTTGGACATTTCTGGATCCGCCCCTGGATGCCACTGCTGCCACCATAACGTAGGTCTAGACATTTTTTTACTATACACGTTTGTGTCTGTATGATCAGAGAGTGATGGACTGCTTTTGATATTAACAGTTTTATATCTCGCAGATCCGATCATAAGGACGGGGCCGTATATATGATACACTAAAGTTCAAAACGATTAAATACGGTACCAATTCGGGCAGATGACCCAGTACAAGTGGGTGTCAGTTTAAGGGGAAATACAACCACGATGTGGAAACCAATCGAGAGAATCCAATGGTAAAAATGCCTTTCTCGAGTGAAAGTTTACTTCAAGCATACATCCGTTTGTTTTTCGTTTACTGCAATTAATGTAAGTCTAGAAATTCTAGATTTCATAAACGTTATAGCATAAATCAACATTCTATACTCAAGCTTTGGATGGTGGCGCCAGCGTGGGGCATCTCCCCCGTCGGATAGGCCTGGACCCCCATGACGAGGTCGTCAGATTAAAATATATAAAAAAATTATTTTCCTACCCAAGTAACTTTATTTTGATTGCCAACCCCTAATATTGCGTCCCAAAAGCAAAATTCTAAGCTATTAAAACGCTCCCTGTGAATCCTACTAGGGATTTTTTTTTTTTTGTATTCCAGGACCCTGACGGAGAACCACTGCTGTACTCACTAACTTCCTAATCGTATTTGATAATAGGCCTATATAGGCCTAGGCCTATGAATTATGTGTACCGTATACTAATTCAACACTTTTGAAACATTCTATTACTTTAGTCTATTCCTTTATTGTCCCTGTATGACGAAAAATAAAATTTTAGCCTATATACCGTGTTTAAATAAGCGCCGCTCTCCGATAACAACCGCTCTGTAAGACAGTGAATACAGCCATGGTTGCTCAGCGTTTATGTAGAATTAAATTTTAAGAGTCGTCCGTGAGAAACACTGCAGGCGGTCAAATTATTTAAGTTAGTTGAATACGATGTGGAGCGCTACTTATGCTAAGTAACTGCGCCGGAGGCCTGCAATAATGAGTATGCCCTGTGTCGTCCTCTCGTCATTTTGTGTGACCCGTTTTGTGGTGTAATAATAGACCAAAAGGATTGACTTCCCCTATAAGAAAAGTATTCACAAAATGTCCATCTTAAATGTCAAATTCATTATGCAGTAGTAATTAAAAATATTAATAGTACTGTACCAGCACTGCCAAACGCAGTGACGGCGCTACGGTGGGGGGGGGGGGCACCCCCAGAAAAGAAGAAACAAAATTATAGGCATATGTATTTTTTCATATTAGTAGACTACCTACAGTATACTGTTGTACAATCGATTAATATAAGCTTCTAAAACCCCTAAATTGTCATATTTTTCGGGGGCTCAGCCCATGGAAAACTTTCGAAACCTTTTGTTTGACACCCGATCACGCCCACCTTTTCTCTCATCAGGGACCTTGCCAACCCCCCTCCCACATTTCAGACGCTGGCCAAACATCCAGAACTTAGTCAAACTGATGAAAAAATACCACGCGCATATTAGTAGGCCTACAATAAAATAAACTATTTGTGTGATTTGTGAATAATAATAATTTGATAAAGAAAATCCTTATGGTACACTTTTAAAAATGAAACAAGGTTTGTGATGACTCTTTTGAAAAGTAAATTGATACCTATGCATGTTCATTATTTAATACTACAGACCCTTTGTAAAGCTAAAAATGAGCCGAAGAGAAAAAGTTTCCATATAATTTGGCAGTCAAGGCGTTCCATAGTTCCTCTTTAGGAGGACGTTCCATGAGGCCGACAATCGTGGTTCCACTGGATCTGGTACCGGAACTGGTTTCCAGTAGTACTGTAGTTCTCATTCGGTTTATTTCGAACAAGTTGCAGTACCTACCTCTCTGCATAGGCCTACAGTTATGTAAACCTTTCCTGATGATAACGTTAATATGAGAATACAGTAGTGTAGCAAAGCAAGCTAACCTAAACCTTTTTTCCTACCTCGATTCCCGTATCTGTACTGCGTTTTCGTGTTGGTGGCGTGCTCCGCTCAAAGATCGCGTTTGTATTTGTAAACAAAGTCTGTGCTTGCATGTTAGCTAGGCTGCTGGTAATATGCCTACGCCATGTTGATACTAACCTTGTAATCATAGTCTGAGTAAGTTATTATTTCTCTTTGAGGTCAAGCCTGGTAACTTGTGTGCAATTTTCTAATAAGTAAATAAACTAACCAAGATGTTAATTTGGAAAATTACGGTAATATTGAAAGTCTAGGTATAAATAGCCAGCGAGATACATTTCAGTTTAGGTCGCGTGGTATGGAACGCCAATAGAGTTGGGAGCACTAGTCAGTGCCTTTATCATTGTTATATTTTTGAAATTATATTTAAAAATTTTTTACAGTATACACAAAAGCAGGAGTGAACAGATGACCTGAGAACATATATGAAATATTGGTTTTGGAAAGCATCAAACAAAGTGGTATTTTAGAGGATAGGTTTTGATCAACAGTGTAGGCCTACTAATGGGGCAAGACTATGTCCGAGGCAGGCCCCCTACTTATTTTTTTTTTGTCATTCTTTACAGGGCCACCAACGAGTAAGTTAATTTAGAGAAGCAGTAAATCCGGGACGCCAATTAAATGTGGTATGGTGCGCAATGAAATGCGAGCAACCAAAATTCAGGGTTTGGAAACCAGGCTATAATGGACCCTGATGGAAGTACTAAATAAACACACAGAAGTACAAAAGAACATGAAAATATAACTCTCGGTCATTTAGATTGTTTATCTACCGTACAGTGATGTAATTTTACTCTTGTAGTTTTGTTTAGTATTGTGTTATTTATTAACGTCACATTCCCACCACTGTGCGACCAGCCAATTCTGGCTTATGATTTATAACATTAAGATTTTCCAATTTATATACATTTAAAGTATATAGTAAAGTTTACAAAACAAAACAATACATAAGACAAAATAGTTGTTTTTTGGTTTTTTTTAACAATAATGGAAGAATGTTGGCGCCCGACTTTTGCATTTAAGTTTAACCACAGAAAGTTCTACTTATATTGCTCCAAACGTGGGGACCGTGAACAGTGATTGGTACATTATGAATATTTGCAGTGCCTCCAGTACGATAGAGAAGAAGCACATGACCAGACAGCGCTGGTATCTCTGAAATCCTACGTACCAAGTATATAACACCGATAATTGCATTGGTTACCTGTTAAACAACATATTGTTTTCAAGCTTTTACTGACCATATTTAAGGATCTCAAGTGTCACTATCCTACATCACTGAATTGCTTAAATTGAGATCGTCAACTTGCACCAGGATTCTCAGATCAATTACAAATGCATCCATTTTATATTTTCCTCCATCACGCCTCCAGACGTATGGTGACAGAGCATTCTCAAACGCTGCTCCTCAACTTTGGAGTAATCTGCCTTCTTCAAGCTCCGTCCTTGTGTATTTTCAAAACACAACTTTCACATCTTCTCTTATACACATCTAGATGTGTATAAGAGACAGACTACACATCAAACAAACAGACCAAATAAATAATCTCCTCGAAACATACAGCTATGCCAACCAGTGTATACTTTATGCCAGAAGAATCAGCGCAAAATCAACCTCTGAGACATCTTTTAATTGGCGATTCGTTGATAAAAAAAATGTTGTCATATTGAAAAATGACCAAATACTGAAACATTTAAATTTGTCACAATCGTCTTTGGCACAAACGACCTGGTATCGAAAGATTCCGTCGAAGACATCGTAAATGTATTCAAAGATATGACCTCAAACGCAAAATCAAAGCCTGAAAGGGTAATATTGTCAAGAATTCCCCCTCGTGGAGACAAACGTCCGGTCGTATGTTACAACGGCGGGAAGGAGAATCAGAAACAAAACCAATGTAGACACAGATAGTCACGTCATGAGGGACCATCGTGCTTTAAAGAGAAATGTCTACATTTTCTTCACTTGAACACAAGATCCCTGATCCCGAAGATGTTCGAATTTTGGCAAGAGAAACAAATACAGCTATTATCTCAATTTCGGAGACTTGGCTTGATGATTCCGTATCTGACCAGGAAGTTTATATAAATGAATATATAATTCTTCGCCAAGATTGATCTCGGAATCGCGGTGGTGTATGTGTCTAGCCTACATTAGAAATGTCATTACGTTTAATACAAGGTTGGACTTGCACAAGGAGCTATAGAGGATTGGTTTGAGATTTTATTCCAAAAACGAAGCCAATTTTTATTGGTACCATATAGGCCTATCGACCACTAAACTATTTTTGAATCACTTTGAAAACACTATCAAATATTCCACCAGAATTGTGAATTAATTGTTATGGGTGAAATGAATATCAATTTTTCTAGACAAGGGTTCTACTCTTTTAAAGAAATTATTGAATACACTTTGTCTATTTAATTGTCATCAACTTATCAATTCACCGACCCGAATCACATGCACTGTTTTAATAATAACTTGGTTGCAAATTATACATTTTTTTACCAATATGATACTGATTCCATCGATTTCAAACAATATTACGGTAGTAAAGGGGTGCTAAAAGAGGGAATGAAATTGTCTCCGAATTTTCAGAGGTATTCATCCTTAAAGAACCTCAGTGTTTAAACATTCATAAAAGTACAGGCTTAGATAATATCCCTGCAAGATTTTTGCGGGTTAGTGCAAGTGTCATCAAAGGTCCTGTTGCGTACATAGTAAATCTAAGTATCCTAACAAACACAGTAATAGATGATTTCATGTTTGCCTGTGTCCGCCCGCTGTTTAGGAAAAATGAAAAATCGAATGTCAAATTAGATCTACAAAAAGCTGTTTTTACCGTTGATCACGATAAGCAAAGAGGATTGGGCTCTTCAGTGGTTTAGATCATACCTCGATACGAGACAACAAGTTGTCTTTGTGAACAAATCAGAGTCATTGGGAATACCACGTGGTGGCCCACAAGGAAGAATCTTAGGGGCCCCTTTTGTTTATTTGTTATGTAAATGATATGCCAATTACTGTAAACTGTAAACTTTTACTTTACGCTGATGATAGTGTTCTTTTTGTGTCGGATAGAGACCCTACCTTTGTAGCTAATAGTCTCTGTACAGAATTGGCGTCTTGAATGGCTCGTTGATAACAAACTGTCTTTACACTTGGGTAAAATAGAGGCCATAATATTTGGAACGAACCATAAGCTTAAAAAAGTCGATGAGTTCTCAGTTAATTGCAACGGTGTTCTTATTAAAACTGTGACCTCAATCAAATATTTGGGGATATCATTGGACCAAACAGTATTATGTGAACATATAATAAGTTCTGTCGTTAAAAAAAATGGTAGTAAACTAAAATTTCTTTACAGGCAAACGTCTTTTTTTAACTGAAAATACGAAAAATATTATGTTATGCTCTCATCCAATGTCACTTTGATTATCATTTTCCTCATGGTAGTCGATGGGAACAACATATCTCAAGACTAAGTTTCAAGTAATGCATAAGAGAAAATGGCTAGGTATAAATTGAACGAAATGCTAGAGCCCATATTGGGCAAAAAGAGCTAGATAGTATTGGCTAGTAACTCGGATAAAATTGAACATTAAATGATTTATAATTCTGCTGCAGCTTACCTTAATCACTTTTTCAGAACTTGCGAACAACATAATTATAGTACTAGGAAGAGTGAATTAAATTTTATTCCGGCAATCTCATCTAACGCATTACAGTGCAGTAGTACTAGTAATACTCTGAACTAGCATTGTTTTAGTTACAATATTATGAGAATTTCCTGTGTTAAAAACATGATTTACTATGCTATACCTCTTTATAAAACATAACTTGTACTTTGTAATAAGAGAAATCTGTATATTATCGCTATTTGGAACAGTATAACAACACGAAAGTCCTATGCTACTGCACTGTAATGCATAGGCCTATTTTAATACACTACTAAGATAGGCTTTTCTTTTTCCATCTTGATTTCAGAGGTCAAAAACATTTTTCAATTTTTTTTCAATCATATAGTGGTATAGACTAGTCTTTTAAGAACATTTTGCTGGAAAAATTTTTTTGGATACGACGCCCGTTATGGAGTTATGATTTTTTAAATAACATGATGTCAGAAAATCAGCCCAAAAGCTTATCTTATTTCTGTTGGTTACGCACCGCTGATTCGCAATGTTTGTCATCACTTCAATATGTCTACCGATTCGTGAAAAAGGCCTATGTACTACCTTAGCAGCACAATGTAAAGGAGCGTAAATATTCCAATCTGCAGACAGTACCGTTTCGATCTTGTTAGATCTCATCATTGCAGCTCAGGATTTCAAGAATGAAACACACGACAGACTCAACATGGCTTGGGTCAGCCCTGTGTGACGTGGTACACTGATTATGAATGCAAGAGTGCACAAACCCAAAATGAGTGTGCTATGCAAATTGGACCCCCTGTCGTCCGACGCACGACTAGTTCGTCGGATCAAAAATTAAAAAATAATAATTTACCTATCCAAATAACGTTATTTTGATTGACAATCCCTAATATTGTGGTCTAAAACACATATTTTGGACCATACTAAGACCTAAAAATTCACTCCTTGAACCCACCAGGGATTCTTTTATTCCGAGCCGTCGACCGAGATTTCGTTGGCCCCTTGGTTCGGACCCCTCTTCGGACATGTCGGACTCCTTATCGGCAAATTTCTGGAGCAACCACTGTTTACCTTCGCAGCAGCGTATTTGCCGGTGGAGTAGCGAAAGTTTCGAAACCCCTGTCTACGAGGTTGGGAATCCGAGCTCAACCTGTGCGCCAAACACTTCCAAAACATACAAGAATAAAAATTACAGTTACATCACATCAACCATTGTCTATCTGCAAAATTTGATGCCACGGAAATTGAAATATTTCGTTTAGCAAGTATATTGAATCGAACAGAGGTGCTCTGTTGACTATGTACAAACGTGAACATGTTTTTTGTATCAACCATCATCTGAAGCTACATCTTAAAGGAAACCACAGATTGGTTGTTTTCACTATACAGGTCATTCTAGAGATTGCAAATTCTAGTCAAGCAGCTCCTACTAATGATGAAATTTTCCAGAATGTGAA